TTTATTGCTACATTTAAGACAATAATTCAATAACCAGATCTAATTTGGGCTAAAGGATTTGTTAAGTGGAGAGATGACCAGCTCATCTGTGCTGGCTCAGAAAAGCAGGTAAAGCCTGCTTTGAATTTTCTTGACGTTATTTTGAATATCAACTAGCTCATGAAACTTCTTCCCTGATGATTTGACAGTATTTTAATTCCAGGTCCACTTTTGGTGGATGGGATAAATTCCAGAAGAGATGCACACCATTACATGTGCAGTTTGCAGCTCAGATGTAAGGGTGGAATAGTATGCAGATAAATGTTCTTTATTTGCAAGCAGAGTTGGCTTCCTTCTTCTTCCTACAGCAAGAATAAGTCCTAGGAAGACATTTCTATAGCTCTACTTAAGGCATGTAAAAGTCTGTACAAGCAAATTTTTATTTGCCCCAAGATGGGACATAAAAGTTCATGGTGAGTAATTAATTTACTAAAAGTTTCAGTAAATAATCCAATTTGCAGCTGACCCAAGTGAGAAAGGGAGTTGCCTTGTGGAAAAACTTTTCCTTTGGAAAAATACCCCAATAAACACCAGGAGTCTAAGGATAATAATCTCTGTCCTTGCATTAAGGGACTTGACCGTGATTTTTTTACCTGCAGAATTTCCGTGCTGTGTAAAAAGATTGGGGAAATGAGAATGTTGGTGCTGCAGATCTGTCCAAGGGTATGAGAGAATTGTGATGGTTGAGTAGACAAACAAAGCTGATGGGATTTTGGAGATATACATGTTTTCATTATAGTAACCCACTTTTTAGCATTTTGAGTAGCAATAAAAGTGGCTTTTTCTTCTTTTTTTTTTTTTTTTTTTTTTTTTTTTTTTTTTTTTTTTTTTTTTTTTTTTTTTTTTTTTTTTTTTTTTGTCACTGGGCCTAGAAATATAAGCAGTTACTGTCTTTATGGAAACAAGAAAACTATCTTTTAACTCTTGTTAATTTTTCATGACACAGATCTGTTGCTGTACTCCTAGTTGAGTGCTGGGTACAGGGTATGGAAGAATTTTAAAAGTTAGTGTATTCAAAGTGGTGCTGATGTTCATCTTGTGACCACCTGTTCAGTATTATTTGATGTATTTAATGCCAATGTTGAGCTTGATTTTTATTTTTATTTCACTGACTAGATTTCAGATCCCTCCTCATAAATCAAATTCTCTCCTTTGTAGCTAAAGTGTTGCAATAATATTACTCAGATGGAGCTGTTTTGTGGCAAACAGAAGGTGATTCAGAGAAGTACACCTGTGCTGATCTCATAACAAAGCTAATTAATCTTTTAAAATTAAATGCTCTTTAAAATTCAACATGATAAAGAGTAGAGGACTTATTAAAAACTATTACTTTTAAAGGGCACTGCTCTAACAAAGAAAACATTTACTGGTGTTTTCTTGCAAGGGAGTGAGTGAGCAGAGCTACCTGGGATGCTGATCATTTCTTTATATACTACAGCTGCAGAAAATGAGAAATTAAATGAAAAGTTGAGAGGAGCACTGAGAAACGAGTGCTTGGTACAATTTAGGGATGTAATCTGGATGTTAATTTTTCAACTTCACGTTCTGTTTTAGGTGTGCCAGCATCTGAGCACCCTGCAATCCTGAAAATGTGGCAGCAGGGAGTACATCTGGATTGCTGCTGCTTTGGGCTTTGCAAGTAAAAGCAAAAGATTTGCAAGCTTCCTGTGGGTGTTTTTTTTTAAATTCAGGACAGGGAATCCATAGGAGGATGAGGTCTGGAAGGTGCAGTATTGATCAGACAAGTCTGCTTGGCCGCTCAGTGGAACTGAGGGTAAAATGGAGTATGAATTCTATAGAAAAAGAACAAAAGGAAGGTTAGGCCAGCCCTCCTTGGCAGCTAGAGCTGGATGCCTTTTAGAAACAGCCCCTGTTGTCATGGAGCTCCTGAAGCCAAGGCCGGGCTCTGGCACTGTGATTTTCTCATGGCAAAACAGCCTTGTCCTGTCCTAGCCTTGGGGAGGAAATAAATAAATATATAAATAAATAAAGGCAGTAGCCTTGGCAGCATTTGTCTATTATTGCAGCTCAATGACTGAACTGCACTGGGACCAGAACCAAAGGGAAACCTTTTCTTCACAAAGATTCCCGATTTTTTAATTTATTTTTTTTTTAAGTCTGACATCTACCCTGGTCTGCAAAATATCTTTTATAAGGCAGCATTTGACAATTGGAGAAGGATTTTGAATAGTTTATGTAGAACTTGCTTTTCTCTGAGTCAGCAGTGTTTTGAGGTTGAGATAGAGACCTGAATTCCTAATCTCTCAAGGGTTTTGGAAGGGTTTCTAATAGGAGTTGATTTGTGTTCAAAGCCCATTTTCCTGTTCCAAACTTTAGATTATGGTGAAACTGTTCAACACACTCATTTGTAATTTCTTGAACTGGTCAATAATTTACAAAATAAGCTATTAATTGTGTTATTTGGCATTGATTATGCTAGTTTGCCTCTGTCTTGCTTTACTGAACTTTTTGGTCTCTTAGAATGTGCTATTTTGTTTGCACAGAAATATTCATGCTTGACTTTATTGACAAAATGTATATTCCTTGTTTAAGGCCTTTTTTTTTTTTTTTTTATCCTTTGGTAGTTCCAGTGCAAGTAAGTTTAAAAAAATTGCTTGGTCTTACTATTACTTTGTGAGTGTACTGAAACATAAAAACAAGCAATGGCAGAAGAGATTTGGTGTTTCTACAGGAGGAAAGCAGTAAGACTGCATGCTTTTATTTCTTTATGACTTATTTTTAAGTGCAGGAAATGATGGTTCCCCCATGTCAGAAAGCATGTCTAGATAAACTTTTCTGCTAGACATGGATAAACTCTTTGTGCTGGAGAATTTGCCTTTCAGGTCCATCCTTAAGAGTCAGCTCTGGTTTGGTACCTCCTGATTATTATTATTTGCAAAGTTTCAGGTATCTGGTGAATAAAATCTCTGTATTTTTAGTATTGCATAGTCATTTCTGCTGTTTCACCCCCCCTTCCCTTGTTTGTACTTTGCTGTCAGGTCAAAGATTTGGAAGTTTTGGAGGCAAGTTCAGATCAGCCTTACTGGGAGGGCCCCAGGCTGGGATGTTGCAACTGCTGTGACTCTGCTGTTAGGAGTCAGCAGCCCTGAAGCAGAATTGTTTTCTTATTTTGTGTCCCTGTGGTGCTCAGGCTGCCCAGAAGGAGGGATCCATGTGGGATGGGATTGCTCATCCTTGGTCCAGAGCCCTCGAGCAGGACTGGAGTGACACTCCAGAGTTCTCCTTCAGCAAAGAGGAGCCCAAGAGGAACCCTGTCATCTCCAGGGTTGGTTTGCTCCAGGGAGGGAGTCCTCATCCTCGGGAGTAGCCACAGAGCTGCAAATATAATGATTGGACAAGAAAGGAACCCTGGGAGCCAAAGCTTGGAGTTTGGAACAGGCTTCAGGGCCCTTGAGAATTCTTCTCTACAAGCCCTTGGGCAGTGGAGTTATAAACACCAGGCAGAACTGGTTATTTTCTCTCTGTTTGCTCTTCAAAGCATCATCAGACTCCAAAAGAAGACAGACTTCTTCCACAAAGTTGCCCCTGCACTGCAGTTTTGTGTTGTGTTCTTTGCTCTTTCCATACCATCCCTTAAAAATGGTACTGACACGTGTGTAGGTTTGTGGTGCTTAATATCAGAGCCAAAGCAGAAAAATTGAAATGTTGAAATTTTGTATTTAAATATTCTCTTGAGGTTGGTTTTACCTAGAAATTAATGCTAAAAGAAAAAGATTTCTTGGTTGTGACAGTCCAATATGTGTATGTGATAGTGAATGAAACTTCTGTGTAGTCATTTGTCTTCTGAATTTAATAACGTTAAATTAAAGTAAAAACACCTGTTTAAATCTGGTAGAATCAGCATTCCTGGAAGGGTTCCAAAAACGTGTGGATGTGTCACTTGGAGACGTGGTTTAGTGGTGGGCTTGACAATGAATTCACTCATCTTAATCCAACCTGAAGCAATTCTGTGGTTCTATGATCTACTTCTCAGTGTTGTTGAGACCATAATAAAATCTTAATTTTCCTGTTTGTGTTAACACTAACCCTTGCAATCTGTGAGAGTGCATGAAGATTCAGGGGTTGTAACTATGGGAGGGTATGAAGAGTCTGCTTTGCTTCAGCATTAGGAACATTTGGTTTTTGACAGTACTGAAATTGGTAATTATAGCCTGTCTTGATTTTTTTTTTTTTTTACTCATTAAACTAATTTCTTAATTACCAGAAAATGCATTCTGTCTTTGAGATTCTGCACTATCTTTTTTATAAAAAGGTGACTATTGCTGCCTTCATTTCAAGTTTTGACTTTAATTATGGAATTGTCTGTAGTTCTTGCAAAAGAATTAAAGCTGTTCCAGAGCAGTGGGGTGAAGGAGAGTTGTGGATCTGATCACAATCACCATAATTTAGGCCTTTTCCTTTCAGCTTTGCTTATGAGAAAAGCTTTTATTTTCCAGGAGTGAAGCTTCCACACAGTTTTCTGTATGGATTTTAGGATGCTGTGGTGCTGTTTGTATTTGCAGGATTACCCTGATGAGGAGGTGGGAATGGTGGCTGAAGGCAGTGAGTCTTCCTGGAAGGTCAGGAGAAGGCTTCAGTTAAAAACTGGGTATTTTCCTTCTGAGCACAAATGTTTGCTAAGCTGGAATGAACGCTTAGGGTCAGATTCAGTCTTTGAAGCAAAAATGGAGTTGTGAGGTCTGAAATAGCACTTGGAGGACAAAAAAGATTATGATAACTTTGGTCAGGATGCTGTTATGAGTGTGTCCCTCTCTGTTTTGGTGCAATTCCTTTTACAAGCCAATATGTGTTCCCTGCAGCCCTTTGGACTTGGTTCTTCTTCCTCTGCATGACAGAGATGATGGATTTACTCTGAAGAACTATTTCCATGGCAGCCACTTGTAAAATTGTCCTTATGTCCTTCTGTTACAACTTCTTTGTTTTTCTGTTTTGTTTTGTAGACACAGATGAGGACACGGTGAAAAGATGTTTTGCCACGTTTGAAGAGAAATTCTTCCAAACCTGTGAGAAAGAACTTGCCAAAATCAACATTTTCTATTCAGGTAAAGTGCTTATTTTGTGTGTATTTGTGGAAAATTCAACAACAGAAAAAGGGCCTGAAGGTCCCAAACTTTCAGGATAACCACAGTGGTGATGCAGGTCTACCATCAGGTAATTAGAGGGAGGGTTTGTTTGGGAAACTGCTTTGGTTTAATCACAGATCTGAAGCTAAACCCTGGCATTAACCTGGCTAACCCTGGCTGGAGGGAGAATGAGTGGCAGGTGATTTAATTTCTTTGAACTTTCAAGGTATCCTGCTGAACTTTTTGGAGATGCTCTTCAAACTAAAGGGCACAGTCTTTCAGTTTATCCATGCTGACAATCTCCTGGCCACGTTTTAGGTGTGCTGAGCCTCCTAGCTGGTGTTTCCTGAGCTTCTGCAGCAGCAGCTCTCGTGGGCTGGCCTGTGTATGGTAGCTGGATCATCTTGATGGGTCCAACAAATTTTTAAACACTGAGCTCTCACTGAAACCCCTGCAGCTGTCTGGAGTACAAAATCCAGCAGCAATTGCCATGGACTTTGTGTTTTGAGTAAAAACATTGTGATGGTAAGAGTGGGGAGTCATATACCAAGTGCTGTTTTTTGTTGTTTCCTCTGAAAAAGTTGCCTTCCCACTGTGTGTTTTGAAAACAACTTTAGAAAGGGTTAATTTGAAATTCCCCCTGTAAAATTGCTACAAAAGGCTTGGTGTGCTCTGGCTCCTCCTGCCATCACACTTCAGATGATTTTCAGCCTCTTTTGGTGAGGTTTAAAATGGGGTTTCAACCAGAAAATCATTTAAATGTGGAAACAGCAGTGTATTGCCTTCCTCTTAACATGTTGATTTATTAACTTAGTGCTATAAACAGGATTTGCACCACAATATGGTAGCCTTTTCTAGTTCTGATTTTAATCTGATAACAAAGGCACAGCTGAATTGTGCAAAAATATTTTCATAACCATTGGGTGATGAGTTTATTGCTGGCTCTTTTACTGCCAGCCAGGATCTGGGTTGTGAACTTGAAGATAGCTGAAAGCATGATGGATGCAGTGGCTGAGCACTGTAGTTTCCCTCTGCTCAGCTTCCATCTAGGGAAGTAAATCTCCTTGGGGCTGGCTGTGCCTGCTCTCCCAGCTCCCTGGAGCAGTGTGGGTATGAGGACAAGAGGCAGTTTTTTAGGTAAAACTGATATTTTTTTACTGGGTCAGTTGGGTTTTACACTTTATAGTCATTTTCCTGCATGCAGTTCATATGTATTTAACTCAGAGCACTGCTCTGTGCTGTTTCCCTGGGACATCTTGTGCTTCTATCCCAGATCTGAGGTTTTTATGCTCAGAAACTTCCTTTCTGAGCCATATGAGATCCTGTACACTGGGAGCTAGACTCTGTGCAGGAAGTTCTGTCAATTTAGATGCACAATACAGATTATAATTTCCTCTAATGAAGACCTGCTGCCACACGTGCACCCACATACACACACCCATTCCAGCATTGTTTAAAATGGCATTAATAACATAGGGTAGGGTTGTTTTTTTTTTCCCCAGCTAGCTGTCATTTCAAAAAGTTCCAGGAGAGAATACATGTAATTTGAAAATCTCCTGTGATAAGATTAAAATAAGTCTTTTATTTGCAGGAGAGCGACGTGACTTTCATAGAATGGAAACCTGTTATTAGGGTTATTAGCATTGAGCTGCAGCAAGAAATGTTCCATCAGTGGTTCCTACCCTTGATCCTGTCAGAAATTTGTCATGTTGGACCCTATTGTAACTCCAGGCATGTGTTGGTTTGGATTATGACCTGGCACATCCTATTTATGATAGGTTTGTTACACAGCTTATTACACCCCTGTCTTTATTACAGTAAATATTGTTAATTTTTCAAGAAAATCAAATTTTCTGTTGATCTGTGCTTCATTTCCTCATCATCTTTCCCTAGGCTGAAGGCTCCTTAGTGAGCATCACTCACAGCACAAACAACCTCATCCTCTTGGGGTGGCCTGGTCCTGAACCCCAATTCCTCCATGGAGCACTCAGAGCTGGAGTGGCTGCTGCAAAAACCTTTCCTTTGCCCTTCCTTGTGTGCTCCCCTCAAACATTCCCTTAATTCTCTAGCTCAGTGGAAAGGAAAACTGCCATTAGCTAAATCAGATTTGATAAACAATTTGCCATTTTTTGACTATGCTCAAGAAGAACCATCCCCAGCTGAAAGACAGAAGAATTGCAGTAAAAATTTTCTGGTGGTTCCAGCAGAGGGATGCCTAGTAAATGCCTACACTCTTTTTGCTAAAAGTTCTTACCATGTTATAGAAATAAAAGTAGAAAACAACCATATAAAACCCTACACAACAGATTATAAAAGTTAAATCTGGCCTGAGCCACATTTCTAGCACTGAAGAGACTGATAAGAGACTAAATAAGTCAAGCTACAAACTACAAAAAAAGACTTTCTTAGTTTATCATCTCTTTTAGAACAACAAAAGGTTTTATTGTTTAATATTATTAATTTTTTTCAGACTAGTAAGTACTTTACCTATAAAATAAACAGGTTTTTTCCACTTTTCTCCAAAGAAGTATTTTTATGAACCAATTAAGAAAAAAGTGATTAAATCTACTTTTAAAAAAAAACAACTTCAAAAGTTCTCTCCCAAATTTACCCTAAAATAAAACACTCTTCAAGTGCTATAAGTTTTATCTGTGGCCAGTTTTGGTTTGTTTTTGGAATTTTCTAGATGACAGGTTTGTTATATTTTAAATTGCCATCATCAGGTCTTGGCTAAACAGTAGCCAGCATCATTTCCATGGTTAATTTAGGAAATCATTATTTGTAGGAAACTCTGGCTTTAAATTGGGAAGCAAAATATTGAACATGTCATATACAAGTAGGAAAGGGAAGGGATGCTAAAACTAAAATGTGTAGCTGGCAGGAGGTTCAGGCTGTTGATCACCTCCTGTCTGATGGAAGAGGCTTTGATCACACCCATGCCCATGTATATTGAAATTTGGGGGGAAATTTTCCTGGTACTTTGGTGCAAGAGTATTTTTTCCATCATCTTGATGTGTGAACTTTCATTTTAAACTTGGAAAATGAAGTCAAAAGCCAACTTGGAACTGCATAGTTGAGGTGATAACACTTTTAGCAGTATCTAGCAGCATTTTTTAGGCCAAGCTGCTGCTTTGTGGCAAGCATTTTGTTGAAGTCTGCCACTATTGGTTTTGGATTTCTTGTTAGTCTTTGCCATGAAATTATGCTTGAGCTGAGGGCTTGTGGGCATCAGGTCATGCAAAATGCTGCAACACAAGAGTGGTTCCAGTTTCTAAGCTTTTTTTTAGCTCTTTTGAGCGACATATTTTTTAAAGTCACTTTTCAGAATGTTAAATTAGTGATAGACAGTGCTAAATTAGTGATAGTGGTATATGACACTTCAATGATTTTAAAGTACACTGCAAACTGAGAAATTAATTTCTATTCTGCTTTGCTTTTTCCTTGGGCAATTCCCTAGGAGATTTTCAGAACAGCAGCACACTTTATTTTGTTTTGTTTTGCTTCTGAATTGAGTCTGGATGGTAAAAAAAAAAAATCATACTTTAAGATGAAATGATTTGTGGATGGGATAACTAAAGTCAGTGCAGGAGAGAGAAGGTGGTGACAGGATGGTTGTTTCTCAGGAGGGGCATTTTTTATGGATAGCTGCAGTCATAAATATTTCAAGGCATCGTATTTTTTTTAAATATTGTGTTACTAGGCTGATGGATGTTAGGATTTTTCTGGACATAGGGACAATGGAACAGTGCTTTCAATTGAAAATATTAATTTAAACTCTTCCATATCTACTGATTTGATTTACAGGAAATTTCAGTGTATCACAGATGGTTTAATAAATGTTTTCAATATAAGAGAGTGAACTTGTAAGCTTTATTTATATGAAGGCTTTTGATTTGAACAGATATCTGTTCCTTCTTCCCAAGGGAGTTCCCAAAGTGGGGAGGGATTATTGTTTTGGCAGTTCTGATCTTGTGGTAAATGTTATGTGGTTGTAGGCTGTGGGCAGACAATTCTCACTGTGGGCTGCATTGCCTCTGTTTGCTGGAGTCCTTGCAGCTCTGGAAGTTGTCAGAGAGGAGTTGCCCTTCCCTGCATTTTAAATATTCTTCCTTTGTTAAAGTTTATAAGGAAGAAGTTTAGAATTTCAGGCTCCTCTGTACTTGATTTCCTATATTGATCCCCATTTTCTGTTTGGAAAGGCATTCTCCTTCTGGCAAATTCCTTATGCACTGTAAAATTATTTATAGAGTAGTTTTGCTCTTAAAATTAAGCAGAATTGAGTTAGACAAAGGAAAAGAGTAAATCACAGTAAATATGGATGGGGAGCAATTGAGAATTATCACTGAGTTGTGTAAGATACTAATGAAGATAATTATATTGACATCCAGGAGACTGTGGGGCAGAGCTTTGTGTAGCAGGGGGACCTTGTGGTTTCTTGTGCAGTGCTGGGTGTCCTGCTGGGTGCAGGTGGCTCCAACACCTTGAACCTGGTCAGCATCTTCCTGCCCATGGTCTGTGACCCTGCTTAGCAACAGAGATGCCAAAGCTGTGCCTGAAGCTTAACAAGGGAAAAAAAAGCCTGGAAGGAACCAGTTGTACAGAACAAAGAGAACCATAGTGGTCTTAACTATGCTGGTTTTAGCTTTAAAAGGTTGTTATTTAGCCAAAAATACTGTTTTCTGAGAGTACCTAAAGCAGTATGTTTAAAGGATCACCTTCTGCATACTTGAGGTGTGAGGAAGACAGAGAGGCTTGTTCTGAAAACACATCAAAATGGCATTTAAGTGCAGGCTGATGGCTTCTTTAACCAGTAAATAATGAGGCAATGCTTCTAAAGTGAGGAAAAGAGGAATAAATGATTCCAGTGGATCATGTACAGCATCCAGCAGTGTTGTAACTCCTGATCAAAGCAGAGCTGTGTTTGTCTGTCGCTGGGAGCTTGGCAGAGGGGCCGTGCTGCTCTCTGAGCAACAAAATTCAGTGTCACATTTGAAGTGTGGGGTTTGTCTTCTTTGATTTCCCTACTGTCACTTGAAAAGATAGTAAACACATAGTCGGTAATGGGTGCACAGATCTGAAAAATGCTTTGCTTACTCACTGTCATGTTTTATAATATTGTCTAACAGGATTTTTCTCTAATGCTCCTGGTGCACTTGATTTATGTGGGAAAGAAGAGCAGCTTTTCTGTTGCGCTCAGAGTAGATGTGTGGTCAGTGCTTTGGTATTTGCACGAGACACTAAATAAAGCAGAATTAATTTAGGGTCCAGCCAGTGTGGGGATGCCTGCCCCACTGTCCTTGTCCTGGTTTGCAGTCCTCAGGTACAGGCTGGGCCTCTTCCATCCCTAACAGGTATTTGTGTGGTGCTGGACTGAACATCCTCTAGAAAGCAAAGCTGGGATGGAAGCTGAGAGGTCTCAGTTCCTGGCTGCTTTAGTCTGTGCTGAAGGGACAGCCCCATGATTTTGACTATATATATTTTTTTTTTTTTTTTCTTAAGAACTAGCGTGTTTTACGTATGTTTAATGAGGAAAGCTTTCTCTTCTCTGTCCCTGTGAGACAACATCTGGAGTTCTGCATCCAGGTCCAGGGCTCACAGCACAAGAAGGACACAGAGCCAAGAAGGACAAACACCCATTAGAGTGGGTCCAGAGGACTGGAGCACCTCTGCTCAGAGACAGGCGGGGAGAGCTGGGGGCATTCAGCTGGAGAAGGCTCCAGGAATCCCCTACAGCCCCTTCCTGTGCCTAAAGGGTCCAAGAGAGTTGGAGAGGGACTTTGGGCAGGGGCTTGGAGTGCCAGGACAAGGGAAAATGGCTTCACAGTGACAGAGGGCAGGTTTAAATTGTCATGAAGAAGAAATTCTTCCCTGTGAGGGTGCTGAGATCCTGGCTCAGGTCTGCCCAGAGAAGCCATGGCTGCCCAATCCCTGGAGGTGTTCAAGGCCAGGTTGGACAAGGAATGAGCTGGGGTTGAAATGAGCTGGTCTTTAACCCCAGGCAGTCTTTGATTGCATCCTGTGAAAAGAGAAACACGCAGAGCGCTTGAGTTTAACACACGATGTGGGGAGGCCGTGCAGTGGGGTGCATTTCACCCCCAGGCGCGTTCCTTGGTTTCTGGGGTGTTTTTGGGGCTGGCTGGGCCGTGTGTGACCTTCGCAGGTGACGTTTCCCTCTGCCGCCCACAGAGAAGCTTGCGGAGGCGCAGCGCAGGTTCACCACGCTGCGCACCGAGCTGCAGTCCACCTTGGACGCGCAGAAGGAGGCCAGCGGGGCGCCCGCGCTGCAGCGGCGCCGAAAGCCCGTCTTCCACCTGTCCCACGAGGAGCGCGTCCAGCACAGGAACATCCGGGACCTGAAACTGGCCTTCAGCGAGCTCTACCTCAGCCTCATCCTGCTGCAGAACTATCAGGTACCCTGCCCCGAGCCTCTCTGTGCTCGTGTGTCCTTGGATGCCTCAGGCTCAGCTTTTATGGTTTTCAGATCCTGGGCTGCTTTAGTGTGTGGGTCTGGGCTTCTTATGAGGGGATGGTGGCTCTGTGCACAGAGCAGGGAGACAAAACAATTCCTTCTCCAGCTGGGCACCAAGGACAAATGATCCAAATCTCAGGCCAAGAGCACAAACAACATGGGCTGGACAGAGAAAAACAAGAAGGGTGGGATGTCACAATCTAAAACTGTAATTAACTCCAATCTGCAAAGAGAGCAGAACTGATCACAGTGAGAGACCCCGTGACCAGTCATGCATTTTGTGACCATTTTGGGTTCATTTTGGATGCAGCCCTGGTCAGGCTCTTGTGCTGCCCAAGGTGGATCCATTGAGGCCTCTTAATAAATCCCTACTTTATTTAACTTTGCCTAGCCTCTGTTCTCAGTCAGCCTTCATAAGGCATCACCTTGAGTTGCCTTGTGGGTCTCAGATTCAGTCAAAGAGAGAAACTGAGAGTTTCTAGCCAGGCAGAAGCCTGGGAAAAAGTTAAAAAAAGTATGTAAATAATTCTTTATCTCTCTTGTTGTTCACATTGTTTATAGTTAAGTTCTATCACTGTGTGTCAAGCACTGTGCACCAATGGTTTGGAGTGTTTTCACTTCAGGACCAATGGAGTTGGTCCTCATGAAGCTCTGTATAAAAGAGCGGGGTATTTTGAATAAATCAGAGTTTTACTCTCATGCAGCTTCTGGTCAGAGTCTTCTCATTCTTGTTCTGCCTCAACAGCGACATTGCCTCACTCAGTTTTTCATTTATTTCTTCCTTTTTCAGGGGGGCCCTAAACACTTCTAAAGGAAAGGCAGGTAGCAGTGTACACCTGGTTGCTTTTACATGAGCTAGAATTGCTAAGCTGACCTGCTGAAGGACTTTTCCTTCTTTCTTTTCTGGGCTGGATGACCCCAGCACCTTTTTCCAAGCAGGACCTCTTCCTTCTGTAATGTGTTGTTCTATGCAGGGCAGGTTGGGGAAGAAGCTCTTTTATCTTGTATTTGTCCTGGAACTTGAAGTCCCAATGTACTGTTTCCTCTTGGCGTTACCATAGTAGTGGCTGTGACCTTGCTGTATCAGAATTTCTTGCTAAAACATCAATTAAAAAAAATATATATTTTGATTTCTGCAGGATACAGGCTCATTTGCCTTGAGGTATGAAAACAAATGTATCTTTAGTTGTACTTGGATTTTTGGCTTGGTTGTAGATGCTGATCTTGTTCCAAAAATCTGGAAATAAAAATCTGAAACTGTTAATATATTTTTGGCTGAGCTACCTCTTCTGGAGTTAAATGCTTTGAAATGCTTCTAAGTGTTTTACTGTGAGGGGTTTTAGCTTGTTAAATAAGAGTGTTGGAGCTTAAATTGACTACATCTGTATTTAGATCTTTGACAGATCTTCACTGCAGAATTTTACTAAACAAAATTCTGTCAGAACGAATTGAATACTACTCTGCTGTATGGACAGAACTTAGTCTCCCAAAATTCTGAGTATTTGTACCTCTCCTAGAGTCATGTTATGTTTGAGCATCTGTCTGGAAACTCTGGGTTTCTTAATAAATCACTTTAACTATTAGTGGTAGTTCCTAGTGCAAATTCCTGGGAAAGGTGGAGTATCTGTAGCTTTTTAGGAATGGAGTGAAGCAGCATCACCTGCTGTGATTTCGTCCCTTACATTTATTTTCTCTTTTAACAGAAGACAATTAATTACAAAAAAATCAATTCTGAAGCTTGATGAGGAGTTTAAATAGGGGCAGATGTGGGTCATTCCTTCGGGAATTTTTTCCTCCTATCCCTCAGTGAAGAAAGGGAGGTTGCACCCTGATATTTTTGCTTTTTGCTACAATGAGTCCAGACCCACTGTAAGTGTACAAAATATTGATCTAAACCCCTCTGGTTTTGATACCTTTCACACTTTGCAGAGGCAGCAGAGCTGCTTTCTACAACACAGCTCCAGAGAGAGAACAAGAAGAATTCCTTCAAATTGGTATTGAAGTTGAGGACAAGGAATACAAACACGAAAACAGACGTAAAACTAAATCCCAGAGTACTACTGTTGTTAATCACTCTTGAGCTTAGAATATAACGAGGAATAGTCAAGCTCTTGCAGTTTTGCAGAGAAGAAAAAACAATAACCTGGTGGGAGGATGATGTACCTGAGCCCTTCATGTAGGAGATAAAAAATGAAATCAGCAGCAGCATTATAGATATCAAACTAGCTTTGATGAAATGCTGATGCCTTGAGTTAGGTTCCTGAGGAAGGAAAATCCACCTGAAGCAAATTCTTCAGTCTCTTAGGGATGAACAAATGAATTCATTCCTGAGGTACACAAACCAAACGCCAAATGAAATTACAAGCAGTCTTCAGGGCAGCTCTTGCATGTTTAAATCATTAAACTTCTGATAAAATTACAGTTGCCAGCAATGTATTATTCTGGAGTGTGTACATACATTAACAAAAAAAATCTATTTGAAATGCTGTGTTTTAGGACAAACAAATGCTGAGAAATTAAGCATGTAAGATTTAGTTACTTATTCTGTATATAATATAGCACATTTATTGGGTGAATAATAGAGGCTGAACCAGTTTTATTAAATTAACTTGCTGGTGCATTTCCTAATGTATATGAGCAAAGATTTTTGAGTCCTCTATTTGATTCTACTTGATGTTGCATTATATTATTGCCTAAGTTGCACTGTTCGTTGTTTGTGGAGGATATTTGATTGTTTTTGGTTGTTTTAGGTTTTTCTTGGGGGGAGGAGATTTTTTTTTTTTCTTTTTTGTTGGGTTTTTTTGGTTTTGTTTTCACAAAATGCAGCAGAAATGGAAGTCAGGCTTGGAGATGGCCTCTTGCCAAATAAAAGCAGCAAGAATAGAAAAATATCAGAGCGCATAAATGATGTTTGTTCTGTTCCACAGTCCCATCACTGTGTGTTTCTTGTCAGAAACATCACTGTGACCAACAGTGCTTTTATCATGCACCTTGAGGTTGCAGAATTTTTACAGCTAGAGGATGAAATGCCACTGCAGAAGTTTTAGGGTGTCTGGTATAAACATATCCCAGCCAGCCAGGACACCCAGATTTAAGCTGGGCTTGTACCCATGGCAGATGAAGGGATGTTATTTCAGGCCACTGAGAGGTCCCTGACCAAAACTGTCCTTTTCTTGCAGCTTTTCATGTGAAATTTCTGTTTTCCTTGGGGTGGAGTGCTGGTTTTTCCAATAGAAAGTAATTAAAGTCTCTTGTCTGCAATAAGGCAGGTCATTAATGCTTTGGCTTCCTGCTCCTGTCTCCCCAGTCTCATTTCCCACCTAGATAAGAGGGTCTGGCATTAAATCCCTTTAAGCATAATTACATTGAAAATGTACTGAGTAGTTGGTGCCTCTCCCCAGGGTATTAGATTTTGATGTTTTCTCTGGTTTTCTTTCTAAGCTGCTCTCTAAGCTTTTTCAGAAGTGAGTCTTGTCACAGTCTCTGTGTTTCTGCTGTTGTTTGAATGAAAATATTGAGTGTTTTAGGCAGCACTTTGTGCACAATGAAATCCAGGATTGCAAATACATTGTGCCACAGCAATTGCTACTGTATTATGAGCTCTGCCTGTCTTAGGTACTGTGCACGGGTGTTGAATTAGGGATCATCTATAACTTGGAAATCAACAGTTGCTTCTTGTTTTAAGCATTGTGTGTTTATCTCTACAGACTGGAGGGTTACATCTCCCACATCTGCAAGCCTAAGCTGGCTTTGCTGTCATTGTGCAGCGTACTCTGTGAAAAAGCATGCTGCTGTGGGGATGCACTTGTCTGGATTTAATCTGCAGCACTGACAACTTACATACCAAGATTTCCCTTCTATAAAGAATTTAGCTGGACAACTTGATTTGAAACCAGTGTCAAGTTTAAAGAAGTCATTAGCTTGGATTTTTCAGGAGGGGAAACCCCTTAAGGGTTATCTTCAAGGTAGCATAAGGTCACTTCTTGCATAAAGGAAGAAGGTGGAAGTTATCTGGCTTTTCAGGAAATAAAAAGCTTTAGGTAGCTTCTTTTTTTATGCCACATTTTTAAATTTATTTGCTAGGATTATATCTTCTTTATAATAAAGTAAGAACTTGGAAGCTTCCTGACAAGGAATGCAATAATTTTGATTCTTATTAACGACTCCTTTCTTGCTAGGACTGGGGAGAGACCCATTTCTTTTTCTTGGGAGATGGCTGGGGTTTAAGAGATGGCTGGGGTTTAAAAGCCAGCATGTTCTTTCCCTTCCTGCAGAACCTGAACTTCACCGGCTTCCGCAAGATCCTGAAGAAGCATGACAAGAACCTGGAGACAGCGCGGGGGGCGGAGTGGAGGGTGGCCGAGGTGGAGGTGGCCCCCTTCTACACCTGCAAGAAGATCAACCAGCTTATCTCCGAAACAGAGGTGAAGAGGCTGGCCTGGGCACTGCCAAAAATCCACAGAAATGGGGTTTTGGTCACTGCTGTTTTCTGGAAGTGTTCAAGCATGGGTTGGATGCAGCTCTGAGCAAACTTGTTCTAGTGGAAAGTTCCCCTGCCTGTGGCAGCGGGCTGGACCAGGATCTTTAGGTCCCTTCCAACCAAAACTGTTCTATGACACTGTAATTGCCACAGTGTTTTGTCCTCTCTATAGCTTGTATTTACCACCAAGATGGCTAATAATTGATTTTGAAATGCCACTGACTTCTGGCACTGCTTACATGAGTATGGGTATGTTCTCTTTGGCTGGGAACTTTCCCTTGACAAAGCCTAGTGCAGCCTTAACTTCTGCTGTGAAGGAGCTTGGTGCAGCATGCTGAGCTATTCTTTTGTGTTAAAAGCATACTGGGCCAGGGCTCACCTCTGACATGGAAACCAACCTTTAGTTTTGGTTTGACCACGTGCTCATCATCCAGATGACCTTCAGTGGTGTGTATCTTTGTCTCCTTAGGAAGTGGTGACCAACGAGTTGGAAGATGGAGACAGACAGAAGGCAATGAAACGTCTGCGTGTTCCACCCTTAGGAGCAGCTCAGGTGAGAGATGGGAGTTGTGGAGCGAAGCTGCTCCTCCAACTTGTCAAAGTGCCAAATCAGATTCAACATCTGAAAGAAACAGGGGAAATAATTGATGTAAGTGTGCATGGGGCAGGGCCAGATAATCTGCTTTAGTTCCGGAAGGTTTGGAAATAGGTTACTGCTCCTGATGCGTGCAGACAAGGTAATGAAGGGAGGAGATAAATGGTAAAAGGAAGTTTATGCTAATAAAAGCATGTGCTTAGTGTTTGTGTGGTCTGGAATATTTTTCAGGGCCACTGAGACTCTCAAGCTGTTTCAACATGGCAAGAATATTACACAGCATTTTCAGTTTAAAAAATCCTCACTTCCAGAGCAAGAGTGCAGTCAGGGTTCAGGAGCTTGTGTTTGTGATTTTAAGTTTGCTCTGCAAACTAATCTGACTGTGCTGATAACCAGTTTACCTCACCTTGATTCTGCTGTGGTTTTATTCGCAGCCTGTACCAGCCTGGACTACATTCAGGGTTGGATTGTTCTGCGGGTTGTTCATTGCACTGAACGTCACTGTCATACTTTCAGGTAGGTGTCCTGCCCTGCCTGGGTTTGGTGTATTCTCCTCACTTAAGGAGCACCTGGACCTGGATGTTCTGGGTTAAATCAGAGCCTATCACATTGGTGTGAGCCACTAGTTCTGCTCAGCAGTAGGTTATGGTTTTTCTCATGCTGTATGTATCAGTGTTGAAGACAAAAATCCTTTTCTTATGGTTTCCTCCTTATTTTTGGAGGGATATTCTGAGGGTGCAACATCTATGTGTAAAAATGGAAATGGATTTTTGTTATCATTCTGGGAGCACACAGCCTGTGCCAACCTTGAGACGGGTGCTTGTAGAACTTGAGCTTTGCATGGTATTGATGCCCTAAAGAAGAGACCACCAGACACAGAGCCATGTGACCAGATGCCACTCGGGATGAAAATCAGGAATTAATGTGGAAATTCTGAGGATTTCAATGCCTGGAGTCTGCTAATGGAATTAATTGACTTTTTCTTATTGGCAGTTGTTGGCAAGATTGTTTAAAAGCTACGATTAATGGGTGCATCTCTGGCTTTATTCTGCTTTGTGCCTTCTGAGTTTGGCCCCTGATTAGAGTAAGATCCACGTTAGTGCTGCAGATCCAGACACAGAGCTTAATCACAAGCGGCTTTACTAATTGTGTGTGTGATTTCTGGAGTGTTGTAACTTGCTTAAGCAGTACAAAGGAAAAGGCTTAAATCAACTTATGAGCTCTTGCATTAGGGAAAGCCCATGTCTGTGTTTTTATGACTTAAAAGAATTTTTAATCTGATGTTTCTGTAAGTGGATCCAGCCATCTCTTGGGCTAAAATGCCTCTGTTTGAGGAGCTGTTTGCAGTGCTTCTCGTTTGGTCTTCCCGTGGTAGAGGCATAAAGTTGACCCATCTGCATGAAGGCACTGTTTAATATGTAGAAACTGTTCTTTATTCATAATTTCTGTTACTTAAATGTTTGATCTCTGTGTGAGATGCAAAGTGATTGAAGCCGGTTGTGTTTGCTTTCCCGCTCGGCGCCGAGAATGAAAAAGTGAGGCAGTTGTGAGAAGGAATTCATAAAAATGATTACATCTCTAGAGCAGGTGTTGCTAACCCAGTGTGGGTAATAGGTGTGTTGTATCAGCAGGCATGATCTGATAGCTGAACATTACTGCAGATATTGGGCAAAAACCTGGATTCCAAGTGCAGAGTGGGTGTTTTTAAGTGGCTCATACTTTGCTAACCTCTCAGCTGCTTTTGCCAAATTGTTTCTGTGCTTTGATCAGCTAAGATAGGATTTTAGTGTTCTATGTGGAGAAACAGCATCAGAACATGGCTTCTGTCAGTAACCCAGTGCTGTACTGCCTGATTTGAGAACTACAGCAGCAGCATTTTACAGAGATGAGTTCATCATCACTTGGGGTCTGTTAAAGGCTGCAGCTACAAGTGGATCCCTGGAGGGTGTCACCCTAAAGAGGACAAATTCTGAGCCTTCACTGTTTCTGTTTGGGCTTCCCTAGGTGCCAAGCTAGTGTGTGAGGTTGGAATTTCACAGAAATGTGCATTCGTTTTATTAGCCAGAAACCTGCAAGGTTTCATGCAAAGTCTCACACCCTTACTGTGGTCCTGCTCTTGTTTGAGAATTGGGCTGCCATTAGACTTTTCACCAGGAATATTTTCACTTTTTAGTCAGTATTTTTGGGGCTACTCTGCCCTGTTTGGAGTTTTGATCAGATGACCTATTGTGGTTCCTTCCAACCTTACCCATTGTAATTTCCCTTGGTTTTCTGCTAAAAATTTGAAACTCTTTACAATTCCACATTTAAGACTAATTTCTTCCAGCTTTTTTCGGGGTGTGTCATTTCTGTCCAAAAGTTGACTCTGTTTTACCTGAATCCAGGAATCTAAAGTTTAAAACTTAAAGCAGCAGTTCTTGCACGGCCTTTTCTCTGTAAGTTATGAAGTAAGTTATAAAGTGTAGATGCTGAACACATGAAATTACCTATGGATTTTACTTTCTCTGAGAAAAAATGTGAAAAACCTGTAGCTGTAATTTAGGCAGGTCTGTGGGAATAAATTCTCAGCCTCAGTTCTGTAAAGTGCAGGTTCTTTCTTTTACCTCTCTTAGAAAGCACATGGATGTGAAACTCTCAGTGAAACTAAAACTGAGGATTTTGAATAACTGTATTTTACTTATGCTTTTCTCATCAAACCTGTACCTAGTGACCAGTCCATTGCAAAGAGGTTTATGCTGGAGAAAGCTGCTCCTGTATAAGGCTGTTCATTGCTTGAAATGAAGTACATTTTGTTTCCAAACCCCTGAAAACTGAACAAAAGAAGCAACAGGCTTTCCAGCACTGCTGGAAATCCCTTGTGCTGGGATTTCTGTTTGGGTGGGGCTGGCTGTTGTAATGGTGACCATGAATATGTGTTGCATTACCATTGTACTGAGTCCGGTGATGGGGCGAGTTTAGCATTGTTTTAAATGCTGTAAATGGTTCCTCTTGGTTTTGTGGGGAGCTGAAGTGTTTGTGTATGTCTGTTGGGATTTCGTCTCTATTAAACCAGAATATTTAAGTGTCTCTAGTCAGATTTATGCTGGTGCTGTCCCTTGTGCCTGTAGTGTGAGGCAGGGCTGCTGCTAATGACTCAATTACAGCAGCTGGAAAGGGAATTTTCCCCTGAATACCCCTAAATCCTCTGACAGGCTAGGCAAAAAGTCCTCCACTTGCTGGAACAAGCAGTTGTGTACACGTGTACCTGTTTTCTCAGGGTACAGCCAAACATCTGAGATCCAGGATAAAACCTTGCTTTGTGACACGGCCTCTGCTATCCCTAAAATCCTTACTTTTATTATTTTTTTTTTTAATTTTGTCTTTGCCAGGTGTGGCTTTTATAGATGGACCAAATGTGTGGCCACTGGTGAGAATCTATCGAGGTGGCTTTCTCCTGATAGAATTCCTCTTTCTCCTGGGTATCAACACATATGGCTGGAGACAGGCTGGAGTCAACCACGTCCTCATCTTCGAACTCAACCCCCGCAGCAACTTGTCCCATCAACATCTCTTTGAGGTGAACAGGAGGGATTTTAGAGTGGCTGAGCCATGCTGAGGATCAGCAGGATAAATCCTGTGCTGTTTCCTGGCAAGGACTCCTAATACAATTAGAAGAGGAAGTTGCTGAAGTCTGATTAGATTACAGGATTGAGCACTGCTCTCCCTTTTCTTCTAATGAGAACACATTGCAGGTTTCAGGGCTGTGTTTTCATTAGGTGTCTGTTTGTTTGGTTTTTTTTCCTGCAGATTGCTGGTTTCCTGGGCGTTTTGTGGTGCCTGAGCCTGCTGGCATGTATATATGGTAAATTCACCTACATCCCCATGCAGGTGAACCCACTCATCTTGTACGGCTTCATGTTGCTTTTTCTCATCAACCCTACCAAAACCTTATATTACAAGTCCCGTTTTTGGCTGCTCAAACTATTGGTAAGTGTCAAAGGTGGTTGAAATAAGTAATTTTTTGTTTAAATGCTGTGACTGAGCAGTAGCTGTGAAGTGTATACAAGTGTCACTAAGCCTCAGGAAGGAGGGATGCTGGGTGATGCTTATACCACTGTGATTTATAGAGCAGACCTGATCAGGTGTTGACTGTAGATAGTTTTTGAGGATGAGTTTGCAGAAGCATATTCTGCTTCCTGTACCAATTGACTTGTTAACCTTCCTGTAGACAGCTGCTTACAAACTTTTCCATGTATGGGAGCCCTTGGATGTCTTTGAGTGTTTGTTCCTTAATCTAGTAAAACAGATTGATTAGAGGTCCAGTGCTCTAAGGCAAGGCTGCATGGATGCTCCTCAGCCCAAACTGGGGTAGTGCCAACGTTGAGAGGGTTCACTGGTGGAGAAAGAATCTTTGGAAAAGTTGCTGCCTATAAAATTATGTTCACGAGTGGAGTTTTTTCTGTTTGTGCTCTTAAACAAACTGAGACCAAGCTCTTTATTTTCCTGTAAGATAAGTCTGGTAAATTCAATGTAAATATGTGTGCTGCTTCAGTGTTCCAGTTATAGGTGGGAGCTCTGGAAGAACAGTTTTCAGTTTTGCTGGGTGACTCATGAGTTTCTTCCCAAATGGCTGTTTCATATGCTCTTCCTCACCCTGTGCACTCCTTTTAAATTTGCTTTAATCAAGCTGATTCCCCTGACACCTTCTTCTTGCTGGCACTGCTCTGAGAGCTTTGGGCAGAAGAGGGTTTGGCTGGCTGGTTTTCTTCATAGAATCATTTCAATAACAATTAAAACAATTAACTTTATCTGGAACGTGGCAAAGATGAGACACAGCATCATGCTTTGAGGACGTGCGTGCAGGTATACACAGGGTGGATTAACCTCTCTGTGCTCACCTCTGTTATTTGATTTGCTGGCTTGCTGCTATCCCAGCTTCTTCCTTTGTGCCTTCCAGCACTCAGCCATCCCTCTCAGAGGTACCTTTAGTCCCAGGCCTTATTAGTCTGGCTGCTGTCCCCTGGTGTGAGGGGAAGCACTGGATGTGCTTTAACCACATGAGCAATATCCATGTTAATTTACCTTAATATCTTGCCAGGGTGAGATTCTCAGTTTCCACAGAGCTGTTAGGCTGTTTGCAGCTCCTGCCCTGTCCCAGCAATCTCCACTATGCTGCAGTCTGGGATAGAGTTGTAGGATCATGGAATAGCCTGAGTTGGAAGGGACCTTAAAGATCATGGAGTTCCAAGCCCTCTGCCACAGGCAGGGACATTTTCCACGATCTCTGAGCCCTGTCCAACCTGGCCTTGAACACTTCCAGGGATGGGGCAGCCATAGCTTCTTTGGGCAACCTGTGCCAAGGCCTCACCACCCTCACAGGGAAGAATTTCTTCCTTGTCTCTAATCTAAACCTACACTCTTTGAGTTTTAAGCCATTCCCCCTTGTCCCATCACTAAATGGCCTTGTAAGCAGTCTCTCTCCAGCAAACCTGAACCATGGAGTATCTTGAGTTGGAAGGGATCCATAAGGTTCATTGAGTACCTCGAGTGTGCAGAGGCCAGTTCGTCCCAAGGTCTCCTAGGGGAAAAAGGCTTCATCAAAATGCAAGATGACCTTAATAGTGGGAAATGACATGGCACTTGTGTGCATTATGTAGAAGGAGGAAGGGGAAAGAAGAGGCCAGACCACATAAAGAGCAGCTTTTATTGTGTGTACTTGACCAGCTGGGTGTATTTTATTTCTCCATGCAGCTGCCAGCAGCTCTCTGGGTGAAAGGAGGTTTAAATAGTGCAAAGTCTTAGAACTGTGCTGCTGACACAAAATTATGTTTGGTGAGCATTTTTTTTTCACATGCTTCATATGTTTCATTTCCAGCCAAAACAAAATCTGACATATCAGGTGTAGCAGAGCATCACTGGCACTTTCAATTTTTCTGTAACCAAGTCAGGGGTATAATTGCGTGTGTTGTAGCATTTCCTCATGGATCTAGGAATCTTCCTGTCTCCACCTGTGACCAACATCAACTGCTGGTTGAGGGTGGGATCTCTTGTGGGAGAGGGATGGGCAAAATATCAGAATTGATCTTTGTCTGAGTGAAAAAAGTTATTTACCCTGTAGTAAAGTCTAATTCCCCTGCCAGGCTCATCTTTCTTGCCTGAGTGCTTAGGTGAGCATTCTTTGTGCTTTGCTGCCAGATGAGAAGCCCCTGGGTGCCCTTGTGTGGGCTGGGGAGAGCAGCTCGCAGGGAGGAATTTGATCTGAGGGCAGGGAATGTCCCCGTGCCCACACGAAAAGTAGTCACAAAGTAAAAGGAAGAATTTTTGAGTGCTGTACAGGGGGGTTTTAAGTCCTGTACAGGGGGCGTTGGTTTTGTACATGGGAGTCAGAAGTTTTAAGATGGAGGGATCTGGGCCTGTCCTCTCCTCCCTCTTTCTCCTTCCTTACCTCCATGTTCTTGGTGATGTTGGCACTCACAGATTGGTTTAGAGTAGAAAATCACCATTTAATATAGGTAATGGGCATTGGGGAAAAACTGTAAACATGTAACACGTAATGTACCATATAAAAGATAGAAAAGCACCATTTAATATAGGTAATAGGCATTGGGGAAAAAAAGTGCAAACATGTAACACGTAATGTACCATATAAAAGAGAGCAGCAGCCCTGGGTGGGGGGAGAGAAGAAGTCAGGGGACAGAGAGGATGTCAGGGTGTGTGTGCGCCTCTGCCTGAGCTGTTAGCAAACCACAGCAGCCCAAGAAAACATTTTCGATAACTTGCAATACATAACCATGAGACCAAACAACAGAAGACTTCTGAGGTTTTTTTTTGAAAGCAGGGGTTGGAGGAGAGATTTTTCCACCACACAGAGCCACCCCTGACCTAGAGGTGAGCTCCAGCACACACTCTCTGCAGGAGCTCAGTGGCCACACCAGTGCAGGGAGCCTGTCTGTGAGAGGTGAAAAGCTAGCAGGAGTTCAGCTCAGCTCAGATATCTGGCATCTCAGCATGAATCAAAAGTGCAGGGATCAGCAGCAGGAAGTCTGTGCTCAGGCTGTGGGATTGTTGATAGAGAATTGCAAGGGGTTATTGAAACTGAGGTGCAGCTCTGGTGTTTTATGACTTTATCCTTATCTGGAGGATGTTGCAGACACTTCTCAGCTGGGAAGCGAGGAGCTGGCTGTGGTACCTCCACTGGAATTGGGGCTGCAGCTCCAGCTGTGCCTGGGCAGCAGGCAGAAGTCCCAGTGCCTGGCACGTGGCATTGGGAGGGTTCAGGTGGCAGCTCAGGTTCTGGAGGAGGGTTCACTCAGATGCCAGTGCCAGATATGTTGTGGATCCATCTGTTGACTCCTCCTCAGCTGTAACTTGCAGGTGGAAAACTTCTACTCTCTTTAAAGTTTTATGCCGTCACCTGGCACTGCTGAAGTACTTCTCCGTAAATTAAATAACAAGAATATTATTATTTCTTTTTTCTTGGTGTTTTGTTTATTTGGTTTTTTTAGGGACATCTGTCTGTAAAGCTATTTTCACATTTCATTTGCTTAGCTAGTCTTTATTCATGGACAAAACAATGGTCTGTGATGAAACAGATAAAGATAATATCAGGGAGTGTTGGGAAAAGGGAGGAAAGATTTTTTTGTAAGGGAAGGCTGGTGTGGTTTTTGACCTCTGTTCTGCAGCTGGGCCCCTTTGAAGGCAGTCCTCCCTAAAGGCTGGCCTTGTTTGACCCTTGGGAATAGGTGCCATCCAATATGAGCACAGAGCTTTCTGGGTCAAGATCCATATCTGCTTTATGCCACTAACTCTTAATGCCCTATTTGGCTTTGAAATTTTAGGAGCAGAGCCTTAAATCTGCATTACAGGCTGATGGGGATGTGCCAGTCCTTTCCTGACTTTCTGCAGCTGTGCACCCTTCAGGTTAATAAGGAGAGCAGTATAAAAGATCAGTGTTAGCCTGTGCTTTCATTAATTTAAAGGTTCATAAATCCCAGAATGACCGGATGGTGCTGGTGCCATCTCTGTGAGAAATTGGCCATTAGTAACTACAACTAACTGGGTAGGGAGAGGGGTAATCAGAGGTAATGGAGCAGAAAACTGTCTGCTTGGGAAGGAGCAAAACTGCTCTTCAGGCTTAGAGGGAAAGTGGCCTGGGATTGAGGGGGAGTCCAACTGACAGGCAATAGGATTTCCACTGCCTTTTCTTTAACCCTTTCCCTGCTGGAGGCATTGGCAGACCCAGTAACAATCCTCACTGTCACAACTTCTAACACCAAAGAACAACTCATGAGTTAAGTAAACCAAGGCATAACCAGACTAATGGCTGTGCTGAGGGTCTAAATCCATCTGACATTAAGTGTGAGGGGGAAGGTAAGTGTGGAAGATGTCAATGGACACGATGTAAGTGCCTGAAAGAAAGTGCTGATCAAAGTGAGGGGCAATGAGAGAAATGGAGCTGTGTAGAGCTCTTAAATGGAGACTGGGAGTTTCTGGGAAAGAGCTTGGTTAGAGGAGACTGGACTGTTCTGCCAGTAAAAAACAAAAGACTGGGGGGGCACAGGAGGAGGAAAGCAGGAATGTTCTTTGTACTGAGAGTGAGGAGACAGTTATCCTTTTTTGTCAGCGGAGCAGAAGGTCAGCAATAAGTCTTCAAGTGTTTCTGTTATTTCCATATTTGTTCAGTACTGTGATGTCCTGCCACTGCATTTGGATGCCTTTGACACAGCCATGAGTTATTCCTGCTTTGTTTTTCCTGACAGTTTCGAGTATTCACTGCTCCCTTCCATAAGGTAGGCTTCGCAGATTTCTGGCTGGCTGATCAGCTCAACAGCCTGGTTGTGATACTTATGGATTTGGAATACATGATCTGCTTCTACAGCTTTGAGGTTCAGTGGGAGGACAATGCTGGACTTCTGGCAGATACAGGTAGAGTAATGCTGGTGAGCCCTGGGAATGGGGTCAAGATGACCTGAGAAACACTGAGCCAGGCAACTTCCTAATTGTCTGTTTTAAAGAGGATTATTAATAGTACAGGAAACCAAAATAATTGGCATTTCTTGTAAATGTGGCATTAGTGAGATTCCCCACTTTCCTACTTCCATCCAGAGAAATGGAATTTCACATCAGTGTTCATTTCCTAATCCAGTCATTTGGCTCGATGTATATATCCATCAAAGAATTTAGACACAGTGCTCCTGATTGGAAAGAGAAATCCATTTTCCTGGCATTGTTGTTTTATTTCATAGTAGTTTAACCATGCATTTGCCTTTAGCCTCTTCCTGTTGCTCATCATGAAAATCCTGAGCTTGTTGAGCACAGCTTTCTGTGCTGTAGCCTGGTTCTTACAGGCTCCATTCCAAAGCAAGAGAGGCTGGAGAAGCTCCTTAGTGCCACCTTTTACTTGATTTGAGTTGATGCTGCTCTGCCAGGGTTGTCCATGCTCTGTCTTCCCTTATTTTCTAGCCAGAAGGAACACAGAGCTGGAATGTGAATTTTGACTTTGGCCTTCCCAGTGGCAAAACAGTACCTGTCTCCTCACTGTTGACTTTCCATTTTAAGCAGTGACTGGTGGCAAATCGTATTGTCTGATGGTTTTGACACTTGCTGAGAGAATTTGCTGTATGCCTCAATAAGCATCAGTGTTCACTTTGTTCTTCCAATCTGTCTGATCTTTGCTTTCATTTTAAAAGCATTGCGAGCAGCTAAATATTTACTTATTAAAAATATAATTTAAATACATAAAGCAACAGTGTGCATAACAATTTGTCCTCTTCCAGTCTGAGCAGTGGAATGATAGCACGGTGTTTTGGGATAAATATCAGCTAATAGTGTGCCTCTCTTAGTGTGAATAAGAAACAAATGAATGTTAGGCAGCAGTGTGTTTGGTTTAGATGTGCTCAGACAGCAAAAGAATATGGAGTTCTCGGGGGGTTCCAGGAAAAGCTGAGGGTTTCCTGGTCATTGTCTTAATAAAAAGAAGGCTTTCAAACACGGAGGAGGGGACACAATGGCATTGTGGTGTGGTTGCTTCTCATCTCAGTTTTTGAAACCAGACTATGCCTTGGCATTGCTTTTTAAAACACAAAGTGAAGAACACCAAACCCAGTCCCGTACTGAAATATGTTTTTTCCTATTACAATGCGCAAGGAAAATGGGTCAAGGACATCTTAGGCAAAGTAGCCTTTTAGAGCTGTCCTGCAGAGTTTCTAAGTGCTCTCCCATTTATGCACAAAAATCCAGTGTCGAAGGCCTTTTGTAATTCCATCCTTAATTTGATTATTCACAGTCCCACCAACAGCGCTGAGCACATTTAAAAATAGCTAATTTATAATGTAGAATATTGGTTATGCTGGCAGGACTGAGGGAATTATATGGTGATCTGTCTGGATGTGTTATTGATACCATGTCACCTGAAAAACTCCAAGATGGAATATTGAGCTGCTTTGGGCTTCTTGCTGTTTGTGTGCCTCGGTACCAGCTGTTGCTGGGGAATCGATGCCATAAAATTATATTGCAGACAGGAAGACAATAGCAGTTCTTAAACTTACAAACTCTTTGCTTTAACAGCTTCAACTCCTCTTTTTCTTGCAGATAATCAGATTTGTAACAGCTACTCCTACGGAGTGAGAGCAGTTGTCCAGTGCATCCCTGCTTGGTTGCGATTCATCCAGTGCCTGCGCCGTTACCGCGATAACAAACGGGCCTTTCATCTGGTTAATGCTGGAAAATATTCCACCACCTTCTTCGTGGTGACATTTGCAGCCCTCTACAGCACTCACAAAGGTATTGGTGATTTTGGAGAATCCTGTTCAGCCCTTGGGGTTTGCTTTTTTACACGAGAGAAGCTCAGAATCTGGCATCCCATTGAAACGTGAGCTTTTTGTGTTTTGGCACCTGTGAGACATCTTTGGAGAAAGGCAGGGGCCTGCCCAGCTTGTAAAAGAGTGGTTTAGGATCTTTCTTTAGGTGTTTTTCACATCTCTGGTCTGCTTAGAATTGCACTTAGGGAGCGGGGGGAGGGAATTTTGAGGTTTGTCTTTTGAAAGCTGAAATACCTGTCAGGTTTTGCTTGAAGGCAGGTGAATGGGAGGGAGATATATGAGGAAAGGGATAGCATAGCAAATACTTCTCTCTTAACATTGATGAATATTTAACCTGGATCATCTAAATAATCGGTCCATCATTCCTAAATGTGAAGGCATGTGCACGGTGCCAGGAAAAAATGCTCCCTCTGATTTTTCTGTGTGATTCTATCCATGTTTTTTCAGCAGCTGGTAAGGAGTTGTTTCCAATCCATTTAACTGCAGATTGAGCTCTGATCCCCGAAGTTCCTCATCTCCCTGGAAACGACAATTACTTGATTCTACTCTTGTTCTGAAGGAAAAAGCTTTTAGTTTCTGCACTTCAGGCAGTCGCCCTGCCCTGCCTTTCATTGTTCTGAAGCCCTAAAAGCTGTATTCTTTCATTTGAGAATATCTCCCTTTTATATACCCAGAAATTAGCAACCACACACAGTTGAGAGCAATTACTTAGCCTGGAATATTCCTGTGGTAAGGCAGGGAGAAGTGTTGAAGGCATGATTCTAGTTAATATGCTCAGTTTTTTGGAGGGGTGTGGGGTTGTTAGAAACCTTCCCGTGGCCAAGAAAAGTCTGTTTTGACATAGCTGGGCCCAGAGTCACTCTGATGATGTTTGTCAGTGTGTTTTAATGGCAGGGAGGAGCAGTGGCCCAAGCTGGCTGAAGGCTGGGAGTTGGGCTCTGTATCCAGGAGAGCTGGTGTGGGAGCATCCTCTGGGAGCATCCCCTGTGCATCTCCTCCCCGCTGCCATGTCCCTGAAGCTCGTTCCTGTTTTAACTTGTTTGCTCAGTGACATTCTGCAGCCCTGCAGTCCAGTTAGTCACCACTGCCAGAGCCTGGGATTGAGGCACAGGCAGATTCCCTGGCTCCAGAATTACTGCTTGCATCTTCTGTAGCCAGAGCTGCTCTGGGGAGGCTGACTAATGCTTCTGCCTCCCTCAGGGGGTACACATTGCCAGAGCCTTCAGCTGGGGTAGGGTTGTGTCTTGGTTTGAAAAGACAGGTGTCTGCTCAGGAAGGCAGGAGCCTCCCTAGAAATGGAAAATGCAAATCCCTCCCTCCGAATTATTATGATTTTGAAATTAAGGGGCTCTCAGGCAAAGATATGGGAATAGGAATAACAGTTCTATATTAGGAAAATTAAAATACAAATGCAATAGTGCAAATAAAACCTTACTGCCAGAGCCAGAACAGGCCCTGTCCCCCTGTGTGTCAGGGAGGTGGCTCAGCCCCATCCCAGGGTGGCTCAGCCCTCCTGCAGTGCCAGCTGTGCTTCTGCTGGAGCAGGATCCTGAACAAGGGGGGAGTTTTCCTCTGGAGCTCCAGGGCTGGGGGAGATGGGCCTGGGCTCCTCTGGGAATGCAGGGGGAAGAAAGCTGCTCCTCTGGGAATGCAGGGGGAAGGAAGCTGCTCCTCTGGGAATGCAGGGGGAAGAAAGCTGCTCCTCTGGGAATGCAGGGGGCAGAGGCTGCTGTGCTGTTCCCAGGTCAGATTGGATCCAGGTAGGAATGTTGGCTCCTCCCCTGGGCAGAGCATCTCCCTATGGATGATGGAATTTTCTCAGCCATGCAGGGACACTCAGTGGCCATGAACAGCAGAGATCTCCTGGAGGGAGGATTGGCTGTGGGAGAGATAAAGAAAAAAAACTGCCCAATGAACAGAACTGCCCCACTTGTAACAGATGGCAATAGAATACACACATATCCTAAAACCCAGGACAGATTAGAACCAAGAGAAAAACCAGCCTCTGTCTAAAGGTCCTGTTGAAGAGTTTGACCTCTTTCTGCTGCCCTTGAAGTTGTTCATCCATGGCCGTGCTGCTACTCCAGTTCTGGTCGCTGCCACACATGACTGGTGTCCCCTTTCCCAGTCTGGCAGGGAGTGGGCTGTAATGAGGTGTTTATGAGCCTTGTTCCAGTTGCTGTGAGATGTTCCTGACTCCCAGCTTTTGTTTGTCCAGTTTTGTCAGTGGCACGTAGTTGTTGGTGTCACACGAAGAAAAGATTTGGAAGCTTTGTGGCCTTTGGAAATTGCATGTTAGCAGAGATTGGTAAATGTCACTGTGCTGGGCTTTTCAGAGGGCTGCCTAAAGCTCTGGTCATGTCCCCTCAGGCCTGTAGGCCTGTTCCCATCCTGCCATAAATAAACACACTTTCTCATGTGCTGTACCTGTTAAGAAGCGAGTTTTATCAAAGTGCTTTACATAGATTGCCAGTTTGTTTGGAACTTGGAATCAGATGGTCTGTTATGAAGTTGTTATGATGCTACTGTTGAAAATAGATGTGCTGCTCACTCACACCTTCCCTGTGTCTGCCCAAGGGTAGCAAACACCCATCTCTTACCTCCCAAACATCTGTTGGGGGGAGCTGTGTGTCCTGAAGAAAGTGCTGCCCACCCCAAAAGAGGTGTCACATTGGTGAAGATCCTTGCTCCTCAGACCTGCTCTAAATTTCAGTAAGAAAACTATTAATTGCTGTGGTATCAAGGGTTTTATTTAAACATTCTTCCGTGCCTGTGCTTGCAAGCCTATGACTTACAGTTCTGGAATGAGAGCTTTTGGCTGCCAGGAGAAGAGGGCAATCCCTGCCCTTTCCTTGGGAGGTCAGGTAATGGACAGCAGTGCCTGTTCTCCACTCGGGAGGCCTGGGAACATCACAGCCCTCTGAGAAGTCTCATCTTCCTCCCTTCATTTGGACACTGGATAGTTTGTAGCTGCTTTGTGGGTTTAGGTCAGTGCCTGCCAGCCATGTGAGAAATGGACTGTGTGTTTGGGAGGGTTTGCTGGTGTGGAGGGCAGCTAATTCATACACAGTGCACTGACAGCATTCTGTGTTTTCCTGGGCTTGCTGCTGGAAAACAAACTAAACAAATGTACAAATGTCACCTTATTAAGTGATGCTTCTGTTCTAGTCCTGCATTGTATTCCCTACTCCAAACCTCCTCTAGTGAAGGATCCCCCCCAGTAGCACCATGTACTGCGGGCTCTTGGCAAGTATCTGTTTCTCCAGAATATCCCTGTTTAATAATTCATATTGCTCAGGCAGTGCATAATTCCAATTCTTTCTTCCCTGGGAGAAGCCATTTCTTTCCTTTCCTTTCCTTCCCTTGGATTCAGATGCAATTTTCTCTACTAATTGCAGTTTGGATGTCAGAGCACTAATAGAGCAAAGTGAATTCTGTTAGGCTTTTGCTCTGAAACTTGCAATGCTGTTGGTCTGGGACCAGACCAGCTTTACAGGGGTAACTCCAAGCTGTCATCTTGATATTCAGGTATCATTGGGTTTAGTGAAGCTACCCCAGAACATCATACTGGAGCAAGCAGTGGTGGTGTAGATGAGTGCAGACTCCAGCACGGCTCGCAAGCACAGCCACGTTTCAGGGACGACAGCAACAACACGAGGACAACTGTTGCCGAGTTCCCAGAGGAGGAATTCTCAGTATTTTTAACATTCCCAAAGGAACTGGAAGCAAAGGCCGTGTTCTGTAAATATAGTGCTGCAGGGTGTGTTTGCTCAGGCAAATGAGGCATGGCTGTAACTCGAAGCTACCTGCCAACGGGGGAGCCGCCGGTCCCTGCCTGCTCTGTCCCCTTCTTTCCCACCCTTGCTTTGCACTAAGGAGCTCAGGGCTGGCATTAAGTTCCCTGCCAGTGCTGAGTAGCTTTCCCCAGAGCCAGCCAACAGGGTATTACATTGCCTTATTTAATCCCTACGGAAACCTACGTGCTGCTGGGGAAGCAGATGATTAAGCCCAAGCCTGCGGCGGAATATTCACCCTGAGCGCGGCGTTGTTTTGACACGCAACTGCTTTCTGCTGTGTTTTCACTCTGCCAAAAGCAGATGTGCCCTGCTTGACAAGTGCACCACTAAAGAGGTTCCCACTTCAGTCTACATTATCACAGCATTTGTGGAATCATAGAGAGATTTGGCTTGGAAGGGTCCTTAAAGATCATGGAGTTCCAGCCCCCAGACTTTACACTCTCTGAGGTTGCTCCAAGCCCCGTTCAGCCTGGCCTTGAACGCTTCCAGGGATGTGTTCCACAGCTTCTGTGGACAACCTGTTCCAGGGCCTCACTACCGTCACAGGGGAAGAATTTCTTCATAACATCTAATCTGACCCTGCCCTCTGACAGTTTGTAGCTGTTCCTCTCTGTCCTGTCACTCCAGACCCTTGTCCAAAGTCCCTCTCCAGCTCTCTTTGAGCCTCTTTAGGCACTGCAAGGGGTTCTAAGGTTTCACCAGAGCCATCTGGTCACCTGTCCAGGCTGAACACTCCCAGCTCTCTCAGCATGTCCCCGTAGCAGAGGTGCTTCATCCCTCTGAGCATCTTCATGGCCTCCTGTCTACTCACTCCAGCAGATCCTCCTTATACCGAGGGGATCCCAGAGAGGGAAATCCAGGGGCATCCCTTCTTGTATAAATTGTGCTTGCATTAAAGGAGGCACACTGACGTATTTGGGATAGCCAGCTTTTGTTTCACTCCTCACTCAGACCTGACTCAGGCTGTGTAGGATAGGGTTGTTATATTTAGGTGTTCAGCTCTTCTAAGAAACAGTTGTGTTGTACTACTCAAGGAGTGCTGGTCACTTATGAAGCTTCAGTCATGATTTTTGCTGCAACTTTATTCTTTTTAAAATGAGACATCATGGTTTTGCTGCTGACAGTTTTCTCACGTTGATGCAGCTTGCTCACATGGTGTCATTGG